TCACCAATTCTTACATTAATCTTGCAAGACAGCTATTATCATTATGAATATATTATAAAGTGAGCAAACCAAATTTATGAAAGATTACTAAATTTATGAAGGTCAGAGAGTGAATTAGTACCATAATTGTGATACAAGCAGGGTCTGTCTGGTTTCAGTCTGTCTTTTTAATTCATATCATAATGTCTATGGAAAATGGATAAAGCCCATCTTTTATTACATCATTTAATTTAGAAACCTATGAAATTCTTGGGTAAAAGGGACAAAGATCTTGCCAGAATCTGTTGTTGATCCTATTTTCAGTCTATTAATTGGACAAAGGAGTTACCAAGAATAGAAATGAAAATTAATCTGGCCTCTACCATAAATCCTTTAAATTGCTGGACAAGGACAAAATTAGCATCTCATCTAAATATAGGGGAAACGGCCCATAGACACATTTTTCTTCCTAAAAAAAGGAAATTGTGAAACTACATCTGGAATCCTGTCTACATTTCTTATTGTTATGCTGTAAGAAAATATCATATAGCTATAGAAGAGAAACAAAAATAATAAAGAGAATGAAAGAGTTTTTTAAAAACCTTAAAAATAATAGATTCTACAGCAGAGATAAGAGGCTGGCTAGGGAATGACAGGGGAATTAGGAGAGGTACATAAAGTAAGCATTTTGCCTTCTATACCATCAAGGGCAACTGTGACCTCAAACAAGATGGCAGTAACAGAACCAAATTTTAGGCTGAAATCACTGGTTTGACACTCACTTTTATATCCTTTTTGTTGTCCTTTTGATTTTCTTTTACCTGCAGATGACTGTTGAAAAACGAATAGTTAAAACTTCCTAGGCTATTCCAGAAAAAGAAAAAAAATATGGTGACACTAAGCCATGAGAAGATAAGGCTGATAGTAGAGGCAATAATGAGTTTGGTATAAAGGGATAGAATGAATTCGGGGGAGATTTTATGCATTTCCATTGAGACTAGGGAAAGAGGGAAGGTCAAAAGTAAGAAGAATGCCCTATGGGCTTAGAAACACAAAAATGATTTTTTCAACAGAATAATGTTTCAAATTTATACTCTGCTAGGCAAGTTTTTTTTTTATAATGTACTGCCCTGAAAAAGGGATAGCCTTTCAATGACCTTTTCTAGCCCATGATTAAAATTCAGTTTACCAGTTTTCTCATTATCTCAAGATATGTATAAAATAATAATTCTACCCTAATCTGACTTGGCTCTTTTAGCCTGGGAATTTCTGTTTTATAGTCCTCTGGCCACAGTATTTCATTTTATGATGCAAAAAGTCAAAGGCAATAGATGATCTGGATAGTCTCCTATGCAACAGAGCCGCTCACTTCATTTAAATGGAAATGCGCATTTTCATGGAATTCAGGCCTGTATTGATGAACAAAGATAAGCTGCCACTATTAAATAGAATAGTGATATGCAAAAAAGAAAAAGTGTCCTAGAAAACTCATTTTAAAAATACAGTAAACTTTATAGTGAAAGACAAGAAATTTTAAGAATACATAGGTATATAGCCTAGACATAGGACAAATTAAATTTTCCAAGGATTTATTGCATATCTGGATGGTTATAAAATTGAAAACCTTGGGACAGAGATTGTGTGTGAAAGACAGATTGAATATATATGTCTTTGATGAGCATAATGACTCAATATGAAAAAAACTCTGTAGCATAAGTACCTTTTATAAATAGACATTAGCCAATTAATAAACATTTTTCAGTGGACATGTTAAGAAGTATCATGGGTTAGGTGTTGATATAATTTTCCATGCTCTTTCCTTTCTTAAAATTTTAATGTGGTTACTTTTGGGTTCATTTTTAAATAACTCATTTAAGGAATATTTAATAATTACACGTTTTGTCTCCCAACTAGAAGCCTGGAAAACATTCTTACTCATTTCTTTGATAACATCATGCAGGTCTTGCAGATCTTTCCTCAGCAATGAATTGTGAATCTACTGCCACTCGCAATGCCTTTGTCAAAACAGAATGTCTTTTAACCTAACAATTATTAAGACTTGAAATCTTACTTGTTTCTCTCATCTCCTTAACTCTATTCCACTTCTGTCCATCTATACTCCTACTTATGTCCTTCAATTTACACTTCCAAGGGGAATACCTAATACACACAGATGATGATGAAATAGAGTCTGAAAAGACACAAATAGGTGGGGGGAAAAATAAAGGATCTAAGACAACCTAAGTAAAGTATTTGCAGTAAAAATCTGGGCAAATAACCAGCTGTGCAATTATGTCATAGATGTTACGTAACTGTATTAGTTCTTCTTTAATTTGACTAGACAATGTTTTTCCACACTGCTGCTGTAGGAAAAGTCCATACGTTCATGAGCTTGTTTTCACATGCAATTTGAGTTTTAGGAATGTGACCTAATAATGAATGAAAAAAAAATATTTTTAACCCTCACCCGAGGATATGATATAGTTTTATTGTCTTCCTTTTTAATTTTTTTTTGAGAGAGAGAGAGATATTAATGTGTGAGAGAAACATTCACTGGTTGCCTCCCATATGCACCTGACAAGAGATTGAACCTGCAACCTGAGTATGTGCCTTGACAGGGAATCAAACCTGCAACCTTTTAATGCTCCAACCGACTGAGCCACCTGGCCAGGATGACCTAATGAATTTAATTAACAGAGCAGTACTGATCAGGAGCACAAAGAGGAAAGTTATAACAACTTTGTCTTATAAAGAATTTTTGTGCTCTAGCTGGTTTGGCTCAGTGGATAGAGCGTCGGCCTGCAGACTGAAGGGTCCCGGGTTTGATTCCGATCAAGGGCATGTACCTTGGTTGCGGGCACATCCCCAGTGGGGGGTGTGCAGGAGGCAGCTGATCGATGTTTCTCTCTCATCGATGTTTCTAACTCTCTATCCCTCTACCTTCCTCTCTGTAAAAAAAAAATCAATAAAATATATTAAAAAAAGAATTTTTGTTTTTATATTTTCTTGAAGATGCACTGTAAAAGGATGCTTACCATATTATTTGAAAGTTGAAACAGTCAAAGATAAATATAAAAAGGAGACACTAATGTATAGGATTGACTACATGGTTTAGATATTGCCTTTGGCAAATCAGAGAAATATATTAAAACAGTCCCATTAACAGCTATTGTTTACTTTGGCAGTGTCTGTTACACATTTTACAGGCAAAATTTATATTTTATCTGGAAAAAGCCTGAATCTGAAGAAAAATTTAATTTCTTTGTTTACACTTTAGATATTTGATTTTATCTTTTAATATGATTTCAGACAGCAGTGTTTAATTTCTGCACAAAGGGCCAAGAGAGAAAGTGCTCTGCTGTGTGTGTGAGAGTACGGAATACTGCAGTGTTAAAGAACATGTCAGAGGCGGAAAGCCAAAGTCAGAGTGTGATGGAATCATTCAACTTCATTTCTTCTCTCTTTCTCTGCTGTCTTAAGAAAACAAACCCTCAAAATAAATGAATGTAATGCAATCACTCTTTTCAATTATGTTTTTAATGCCTATTGATGTTCTTTATGTTCAGTAGTAGTGGATAGAGATTCTGGTTGCATTCCAGGTTCTTAATCTTCCTGATATGACAGCCTCTTTTTGGCTGTGAGCATTAGGATTAAATGTATAGGACCCTTGTGTCGTGTCAGCTTTTAGAGGGAGACCTGGCCATGTAGGAGATGAGATGATCCACTGAGCATAGGGAATCAAATGATACAAGGGACTCTCTACCCAGGCACTGCCACTTGCTTAATGCTCTGTTGTTGGTACCTAAGAAATTTGTAATCACTCTTTAACAAGGGACCCTACATTTTCATTTTGCACTGGCCCCCACTAATTATTTAGCTGGTCTTTCCCATGAAGAAAAGCTTTGAAAGGGACAAGGACTAATCAGATCCGTTTTTGTTTTTTTTTTTTTGGCTTTTGCATAGAGATGATACCTGGCTGATGGTCATGCTTTGCTATGTTTTGCTCTGTCCAAAGGATTGTACATATATTCAGCATTTCTAGAGGAGACCAATATCACCCTTCAGGATCCAGTTTCTCTTCCCTCTTTAGTAATTTATTCTCTTTCCCTCTTTTAGCTGCTTGCATGGCTGCCTGGTCACAGATTATATTTCCAAATTATCTTGCATTTAAGTGTGTCCATGTTACTGTTTTTGATTGCGAGTGAATAGACATGTTTTAAATTTGTGGGTAATTGCCTTAAAGATACAGCCAAAGAGACAACTCTTTCCTTCTTCTCACAGGCTGGAAGAGAGATGGCTGGTGAGGAGGATGACATACTAGGGGAAGGCAGATCACCTCTTCTACTCTTTCAAAATCTGAATGAGAATTCCTGGGCCAGCATGGATTACTCACGTTGAGTCAGGGACTTCAAAGAGGAATGAATTTTCTTTGTTACACTTGGCTTAGCCTCTGCCCTAAGTAATGTACAGAATAAATTCTTGAAAGCTGATTCAAAATGTATTTGCATTTATCCAGAACAGTTGAAAGTATAGTGTTCTGAGTGTTTGAATGTTCTACATAGAGAAAATTACTAACTTACATTAAAATGATATAAAACAAATTTTATCCGCAATGATTCTCAGAACACTTCTGGATCTTGCAGAGCCGCAATATCATCAATATTAATACTAATTGTAGTAGATGTCTATAGATGTTGAGGTTTTAGTAAATCAATAATAACCTGACAAACTCCTGAAATTACATTTTTAAAAATAAATTCCTGAATCACTCTAGTTTTGTTATAATTCATCTCCATACTGAAAGAAGAGTATAGGATATTAAAAGTAACTTTTCTGAATTTTCTCATTGTTTGGAAACTGAATTAAGACATTTAAGACACTTAAAAAAATAACATAATTTTAATTTTCATTTCTTAACATTTTTTGATGACTAAGACTATAAGCTTTAAAATATTATATTGATAAACCAGTTAAACCATTAAGGAATCATATATTTTCAAAAATATAGATTTTATGTTTACCTGCCCCAATGACTCTCTCAATGCGAATTCTTGAGGGATCAATCTCCTTTGCAAATTCATGGACTGCTAGGGATGGGTCTTCGTATGTATCTGGATCTATGTAAGTTTTAATTCCTGGGAAGCGTACTGCAACAAAATAAAAGACTGATTTAGCGTAAGAGATTTTTTTAGTACTTACACATCTTGTGACTATTTAAAATAAGGAGCCACTTACTGAAGTAGTCATTCTTGTTAATTACTAAAATGCAATTCTTTTTTCTCTTTCTGCCCCCCTCCCCCAAAATGCCCCCATTCCAGTAAAGCTTTGAGTACTTGGAATAAAATTTTATTTGCTGTTAATGTAAAATGACCTGGTGGTTTAATAGAAAGTGAGCTGACTGGTTCCAGAAAATACACTTTTATTATATTTCTGTAGAAAGTTTAATCTGCTCACTTACCACTGACAACCCATACATTTCACCTCTGATCTAGCTCAGGGCATGGGGAAAATGAGGCATGAACCTTCTCCCATTCAATTTTCACGCCCCAAACAAGCAAGCAAGCCTGTTAATGTCCATCCTGGGCCCCTTGTACTTTAAGGCACTAGGTCAGTGGTTCTCAACCTTGGCTGCACATTAGAATCACCTGGGAATCTTTTTCAAATCCTGATTTCTGGGCCTCATCCTCTGGAAATTCTGTTTCTTTGTTACTAATGTTGTGGCCCCACCCCATAACAAAGAAACAGAATTTCCGGAGGATGAGGCCCAGAAATCAGGATTTTAAAAAGATTCCCAGGTGATTCTAATGTGCAGCCAAGGTTGAGAACCACTGCACTAGGTTTTCCTGAACTTATGCCCAGTCCTGTGGTCTCTCCCCTTCCAGGAACTCTTAGTCAGTAAAGAATAGACCCATGGCCCAGTGTCAGAAGACAACAACCAACAGTAGTTCTTTCCTGTTCTGTAGTTGCTTCCATGGACAGAACATACATGGTCCTGAAAAGGGCCCCCTGCCTCTTCTGAAGGGAAGGGTAGGAGTGAAAGGCACAAATCTGGTGGTTGGCTGTGTAATTGCTACTCTTCCTCTGGTGGGGGTGGATGCTCACTTCCCATGGGCAGTAAGACAGGGATGGCTGGAAAGCTTGAATGCGTGGTTGCATATCATTTGCACCTTCTTTAGTATCAGAAGTCACAGACTGCCTGTGGGAATTCCTCTGTTTTGCTCATGGGTTTGTATTTTCTACATTAGATTTCTAGCTTCTGGAGGACAGGAGATCATTTCTTATACATCTTTGTATATTTCCAAATACTTTAGGTATGGTTTTATAGGTAATATTATATCTTTTGGCCTTGGCATAGACATAATATTGAATACAAATTAGTAGGGATTAAAAAGATCAATACAAATTTGTATTTAGTTTTGTGGTTTCTTAGATTTTGAAAGCCACACAACATACTAAGTTAAGTATTGTCTAGGTTGCCCTAGAAATATGCTCTTTCAAGAAAAATCTCAAAAGCAAGCAAACAAAAGATAATACAGTGAGTTTAGAAAAGGTAATGAAATGCCCATTATCAGCAATAATTTGCTTCATGAGTTCTTCTATGCCTGCTGCCTTCTTTTATTACTTTTTTGCCTGCTGGTACTAGATATGTACCCATGAGGATAGTACTTCTCAAAATGGCACTAGTGAAGCATATTTCTAGATGAGTTTAGACCTGACATTATTCTGAAATGCTATGCCTTTCTTGATTTCCTAAAGTTTAGATTGGAGGAAAGGAGAATGGATAATCTGTATCTCTTATTTATATTCTATATGGCATTTGTGTAATTTCAGTTTGAATACCATAAACTCAAATTCAGTGGCCACTACTCGATGATCAGTAGTATCTAACTGATAACATTATTTTAGGCACAGATAAAAAAGATTACTTATGAACTCGTACGTGATTTTAACAATTCAACCATTTAATTATTTAAGGTGATACACATTTCTAAGGAATAAATTGATTAGTTAATATCACTTTTTCCCCCCTTGTAAACATAATATATGTATTATAGAAAAAAAATCCAACTTAGTTCTAATTTTGACTGTCTGATTACTCATTTAACTTATCCCAGTCTTTTGAAACATCAGTTTATCTTTCTTCTATCTCCTTGGCTGCCTCAGGTTATTTTCATTGCTTCTCGCTGGGCCCATCTGGTTTAGTTTATGCTAAACTGTTAGTTGGAAAACGGATAATAAATACCTCAGGAGCATCTCTTTCTTCTGCATTTCAGTTCTAAATGCCCCACAGTGAATCTTAAGGTTGCTCAGCATACGTTATCTGTCCAGGTGTTTGGATCCATGTTTCTGCATCTGTTTCCAGCTCATTCCATGCCTGGTATAGGCTGTCTCAGCTCCCCCTTCCCTGCCAGTGCAATCAGCCTCAAACTTACTGCACACAAGAACAACCTGGAGAGCTTGCTAAAAATGCAGATATGTTGGCTCTACCCCGGCTCTTCTGAATCAGACCTCTGGTGAGTGAGAGTGGGGTATTCTCATGAAGATGGTCCTTAGACCACTCTTTGAGAAATCATGTGAGCCTTATAAATAGCCCTAAATTATCTCTCTAGTTTATAATTTCCTCTCTTGAATCCTTTCCCTCCCCTGGATGGTGATAGAGTTTTAAAAGCCCCTTACTCATTTGGCTTAATCTGAAGTAGAAGATGAGCTTAAATAAACAGCTCACCTCACATATCATCTCTATACTGTGGTTAATTGGAAAACATCCCTTTCTTGTTAATCCAGCCTCTCGCTACAGAGGAGCTGTCTTGACAAAGTAGTTTGCCATTCGGAGGGAGGTGGAGGTGGAGGTGGAGGTGGGTGTTGGGGAGGAGAGGTTGGCAATTACGAAACTAACTATAGTGGTAATTACAGCTTGCTTGGGAAGAGATCATTCAAATGGATATAACCTTGTAGTCAGCTCAAGGATTTCATACATATTGTTAGAGTTAAGGAGCTGATTTTCTGTTTTAGTGTTAATGAACTGTAAATTGATTGTTATATGTTTAAATGACAGTTCCTACAAGAAGGAATAAGGATTCCATAACATTTCTGTGGCGAATGCTCCACTAAATAAAACCAGCTCACATGCTGGAGACATTGTGAGTGCCCATTTTGTATTTTTGACATATTCAGTCTGTTGTGCTTTTCAGCAAGCAGAATTAGGAACAAAGCAATATCATTTAATGAGAAGCAGGTGCACTTTCCACCAACAAACCTGGGAAGCCTGAGGAAAGGTTGGAAGTAGATTTTTTTGCTTTCTTAACTCACTGATCCAAGTTTACAAGGAACTTTTGAATATAAAACAATGGAAAAGAGTCACTTCACTACTTACGATGCCCATTCTGTAAGTGGTTTCTTCTCTTCTCTTCTGACTTCATTTTTGCCTTTATGTACCATTGGCACCTTTTAAAAAAGTAAATAGAATCTTATTTTTAGAATTATGCTAAATGAGAACCAAAGCCAATTAAAATACATATCACTCATGGGCAAAGTCCTTATCATAAAGACCACTTTTTGGAACATCTTTATAACATGTGAAAATACTCCACAGAAGGTATTTTTTGTATGCATCAAAATTAGCCCCAGATAAAAATACAATAATCTCAAGTGGATTGACTAATCCAAATGACAGGAATCTTAGAAAATATTTTATAATCAGCAATAATGATTGTGTCCTTCCATATATGACTCCTAAATGAAATGAAAAAATGTTTTTGAGTCAGAATCTCAGAAATTTAGACAACTATCTTCCACAGTCTGATTTCTTTTTTTAATGTCAGAAGTTTGGTAGAGGCATGTCTCTTCTCTCTCAGGGTAATCAAGCTCTGAAGAACAGAAGCAGGTGTTATCTCCCAGAACTTCTTCAACATGAAAAATTCATCAGCATCCATTTGATCTGACAGTTCATCAAACTGCTAATTCCAAATGGTTAACCAAAATACATCTGCGGCACACAATCCGTTCTTTAAGTGTGAATTTTGCTTCAAATCCTATGGCAAATTCAGTATTTATTCAGAAATGTCTTACAGTTCTCATAGAATAATTTCCAATGAATGCTTCTCTACCAAAGTGCTTAAGAGATATTTCAAAATGAATTATTTTTATCTCATACAGTTGAAATTGTTTTCCCCAGCATACAGAATGTTAAAACAATTTCTGATGTCATATAAATTGGCAAGCATGAACATGGAACACTAAAAATAATTTAGTACAAATTTTTCTTCATCATTAAATTCTCTTTTTAAGCAGTATTCAAATTCTGCTTCAGGAAAAGATAACATTTAAGCCCACCTCTCAAATTTATTAGGCCAAACATATGTAACCTACAATGACTGTAATGTCTTCTTTTAAGTTTGTCATATTTACATATAAAGGAGATATTTTCTCTTCTTTTCTTAAGATTTCTTTTTATTTTTGAAAAATAGTCTATTACAGTTTATGATCAATATTATTTTGTATTAGTTTCAGTTAGTTGTACAGCATAGTGGTTAGCCAATCATATACTTTACAAAGCATTTCCCCTAATATTTCCAGTAACCAACAGGCACTATACATAATTATTACAATATTAATGGCTATATTTCCTATTCTGTACTTATATTCCCATGACTATTTTGTAATTTCCAATCTGTACTTCTCAATCCCTTTACCTTTGCACCCAGTCCCCCAAATCCCCTCTCCTCTGGCAACCATCAGTCTGTTCTCTGTATCTATGATTCCATTTCTATTTTGTTTATTCGTTTATATTCTTTAGATTCCACATATATGTGAAATCATGTGGTATTTGTTTTTCTCTGACTGACTTATTTCACTTATTGTAACCTCTAGGTTCATTCATGCTGCCTCAAATGGTAAGATTTAAAAAAATATATATTTTATTGATTTTTTACAGAGAGGAAGGGAGAGGGATAGAGAGTTAGAAACATCGATGAGAGAGAAACATTGATCAGCTGCCTCCTGCACACCCCCTACTGGGGATGTGCCCACAACCAAGGTACATGCCCTTGACCGGAATTGAACCCAGGACCTTTCAGTCCCTAGGCCAATGCTCCCTCCATTGAGCCAAACCAGTTAGGGCAATTTCTATATTTTTAATGGACATTGTCTGAATGTACCACAGCTTTTTATCTACTAATCTACAGATGAGGACTTGGCTTGCTTCCATAGCTTGGCTACGGTAAATAATGTTGCAATGAATATAGGGGTGCATATATTCTTTCAAATGAGTGTTTTGGGTTCCTTTGGATATATACCCAGAAGTGGAATTGCTAGACATAAGGCAGTTCCATTTTTAATTTTTTGAGGAATCTCTATACGGTTTTTCACAGTGGCTGTACCAATTTGCATTCCCACCAACAGTGCAAAAGGGTTCCCTTTTCTTCACATCTTCTCCAACACTTGTTTTTTGACTTATTGATGATAGTCATTCTGACAGGTGTGAGGTGACAAAAAAATTTGCATTTCTCTGATGATTAGTGACTTTGAGCAGCTTTTCGTATATCTTTTGGCCATCTGTATGCCTTCTTTGGAGAAGTGTCTATTTAGGTCCTTGCCCATTTTAAATTGGATTGTTTCTTTTTTTCGATGTTGCATTGTATGAGTTCTTTATAAATTTTGGATATTAACCTCTCATCATATGTATCATTGGTGAATATATTCTCCCATTTAGTGGGTTGTCTTTTCATTTTGTTGATGGTTTCCTTTGCTGTGCAAAAACTTTTTGGTTTGATTTGTTAATTTTTACTTTTTGTTTCCCTAGCCTGGGGTGATATATCAGAAAAAATATTGTTATGAGAAATGTCTGAGATTTTACTGTCTATGTTTTCTTCTAAGATTTTTATGGTATAGAGTCTTACACTTAAATCTTTAATTCATTTTGAGTTTATTTTTGTATATGGTGTAAGAAGGTGGTCTTGTTTCATTTTTTTTGCATGTATCTGTCCTATTTTTCCAAACCCATTTATTGAATAGACTGTCTTTACCCTATTGTATGTTCTTGCCTCCTTTGTCAAATATTAATTGACCATGTACACATAGCTTTATTTTTGGGCTCTCTATTTTGTTTAATTGATCTACATGTCTGTTTTCATGCCAAGGCAATATTTTCTGATATTTTAATGAAATGCTTTTCCACATGTGCATGTGCTATTTATATCACTGTATATGTGCTTTTATATAATTTTCTGAAATACCATACTCTATGGGAAAATAAGGCCTTAACTCCTACTCTACAATACATATAAATGTAACTTAAAATTACACCCAAGTTTGCCATATATTGGATTACTATTAAAATGTCATTTAAATCAATTTCCATTATGAAGTTAGAGTCATTTTTTAAATTGGCGATAAATGACATTGCTGTTTAAATAAAATCATATTTAAGACAGCATCCCAAACTACTTCAAAGAAATTTTCAAGTAAGAAAATAAGACTCTTTCTGAATCAAATTAACCATCATATCTAAATTATCACAGTCTAGTTAACATAATTTGTGTATTTGGAGTTAATATCACCTTATAGTACTCATTGAACTTTAATAACTGAATAATCTTTTTAGGCTCCAAACTGATTGTCTTTAAAGTGTATGTAAGTCCATGAAAGAGTATTATCAAGATATCAGTGCCCCCAAATTCATAATGCATGGGCAGCACTTATGTTATAAATGGCAATGAAAATATAGTAGGGTTTATTCTAATATAGATTCTTTCAATATGTAATGGATTGAAAATAACACATTTCTGTAACACTAAATTGATAAAGAACTTTCATATAAATTGTTCAATCTCTGTTAAATTTTCTCTAAATCCCTTTTATGGTATAATTTGGTAGTAGTAAAGGAAAAACTCAGAATTAACTTATCAAGTAGAAATGTATCATTTACAGCTTTCACAGTGTTCTTATCAAGTCTCTGGTTGCCTCATTTTTCAGGGACCTGTGGATACAGAGAATGAGCCATGGTGGTTCTATCATCTTACAACATTCACTCTCAGAGCAGAATGGACCCTGATCCCTTTTTCTCTCAGGTGTGCTTTGTTACATTTAAAAACATTTTAATACACAGTATATTAAAAATGCTTTCCACAAATCTTGGGAATGATTTGGTATACATTAGTTACCTGCCGGTGATTAAGAAGAACAAAGTAAGAATGACAAGGAGAGTGAATCCCCCGACAGCCGCGGTGGCTATCACCAGAATCTGCCCCTGTTCCGCCGCCATATCAGAAGCTGAAACACAGACACAAGATTAAAATTTCTCGGGATGACATTTCATTACCAAATTTACTTTACAACTTAGTTTATGCCTGAAAATGTGGAAATGGATTCCCAAGACCCCCATCATATTTGCCCTTTATTGTGCACACAGGATGCAAACCCAAAATAAGTGTTTAAGATAAAGGTCATAACCCACAGCTAACCCTTTCTTCTTTTTTTCACAAAAATACCAATAAAATGGAGATATTCTTAATACCCCACCTCTTAAGATTAAGTATATGTTGAAAATTAAATCAGCAGATGGACTGAAGTGTTTTGTCTACATAATTGCTAATTTATTTCCTTAAACACTTTGGTCAACAAACAAGGCTTTACACACTGTTTTGTTGCCTATTTCTACAAAGTAGAAAGAGAATCACCATCTTGTATACTTGAAACCTATATAATCTTATTAACCAATGTCACCCCAATAAATTTAATTTTAAAATTGAAGGAGAAATAAAGATTTTATCAGGTGAAAAAAAAGATTGCCTTTACACTTAACAGTGCTTAATTCAAGTTTAAAGTTATAAACTCCACCTCCACAGCAAAAGGGTGTACATAATTGGTACTCAGATGTTTGGCAGTAATTAAGAATATGCTATTTAAAAGCTTCCTTTACTGATGAAAAGACTAGATAACATATGGCAACAACATATTACTTCTGTCATTGATAAAATCATTTCTTAAAACTGCATGGGCTGCCTTTTAGAAACCTTTAAAATATATTAGTTCAATTAGTTCATTAGTACTTCTTTGTATTACTGAAATTTTAATTGGATATAATGTTCTTGGTATAGGATATGGGCAATTGCTTAATAACAGTGGTAAGAAAGCTGAAACTCAGAGAAGTTAAAGAACTTGACCAAGCTCATGTATGATCATCACCAGAATTCAGGCTTCTAGATTATTGTTTTATTTTTTCCTTCCTATGCTATTAGTCACAGTAATAATTCAGTTAATTATCAATATTCTAAAATATTAAATCAATCATTCCCTTTAATATTCTTTAACTTGAATCAAGCTTGATTTTTATTTTGATCGCTATAAAAAATTCATTAACCTAATCCTATATAATAAAATCCTAATATGCTAAGTGTCAGGTCATCCAGTTGGCCGTTCAACCAATCAAAGAGTAATATGTTAATTATATGCTAAAACCACTCAACTGCTCGCTATGACTTGGACTGACCACCAGGGGGCAGTTGACTGGTCAACCAGTCGCTATGACATGCACTGACCACCAGGGGGAAGACACTCTGACCGGTAGGCTAGCTTGCTGCTGGGGTCCAGTTGATCGGGACTGAGCGAGATGGGCCAGACACACCCTGGAGCCCTCCTGTGGTCCCTCCCCAGCTGGCCAACCTCCTGCATCCCTTCCCAGCCCCGCTTGTTCACCGGTGGGGTCCCTCGGCCTGGCCTGTGCCCTCTCGCAATCCGAGACCCCTTAGGGGATGTTGGAGAGCCTGTTTCGACCCCATCCCGCAGGCCAGGCCGAGGGACCCCACTGGTGCATGAATTTGTGCACTGGGCCTCTAGTCAGTTATAAGCAGCAAATTGAATCAAAGAAAGAATATAACTGACAAGCAAACCACTTAATTCCTTACCATATTAATTTATTAAATTTGAGTAGTTTAAGACTTCTGCAAAGTAGCTCTTTCTCTGAGAATCAAGCATGCTGTATATCACATATAAATTCATATACAGAATAATAACTTCCTCATAAAAATGCATATCTACTAGAGAATATCATAGTATTCTATGACTAATAAAATGCATATCTATTAGAGAATATCATAGTATTCTATGACTAATTCATAGTGACTAGTTAAATGTTATTATTGAGTCAGTAAGAATCTAGACACAGCATTTAAGATGCCTCTTAAGAAATCTATATTTAAATAAAAACAAAAGTCATTTATGTTTAGTTTGCAATAAGAAATGTATTAAACCTTGGAATTAGATTTTAGTCACTATGATTTAATCAAGATATTTTCAGGCAATTTATTTGAATGTTGAGTTTTTAATCTGTACAGAGACAAGCTAAATAGTTGCATCTTATCCAATATATAATATAGTAAAGACTTTTTTCTTGACTGAATTTCCTAATCTTCAAACTAGCATTGATATCATGGGGATTAATGAATGCTGTAAAATGTCACATTTTCTCATTAAAATTATTGGAAAATAAACTGTATGAAACAGATATTATAGGAAACAACATTAACTATTTGAAGATAAAGAAAATAGAATTTAAAAAGAAAACATTATTTACTTAGCAATTGCTCAATTTATAAAATATGTAATATAGTTTAAGACTTTTAAGCCTGGAGCATATATTTTCATGGTAGCCAGGTAGTAAGTAATTTATTGAGACCATGTATACAAAGTTCAGATGGAGGAGGAGATTATGTAATTGGGTGCCTTTTGAAAATCAGATTGCCTTGTTTTAAAAAATTGTGTTGTCTTACTTGAGTAATAGCTTGGTAAACTGCCCATTTTACTAATATATCTTCTTTTTCACTCTTGTGATTACATATTTATGAACTTTGCTTTAATTGAAATTTTAATTGAATAACAGAATATGAAGTTGTGACACTGAAAAATGCACAGTCCTAATTTCCTAAATCTCTGCACTAAGAATCCTAAATACTAATCTCCTTTGTAGAGAATAATAGTATATATATAAATTTGAAAATAAAAGTGTATAATGTGATGCACTATTATACTGGAAGTAAAAAGCTATGAATGATGGGATGAGATGATTATGAATACATCAATGTCATCATCATCATGAACAACAGCCACTATTTATTTACTAGCAAACTATCCTTTAGCACTATCCTTAGTGGTTCAAATTCATTATCCAATTTATCAGCACAATAGTTTTAATAGGTAAGTTATATTATTATTCCTAGTTTAAGTGGTTATATATAAGGGTGTCCCAAAAATGTATGCACACTTTAATAGCTGATAGGTCAATTTTGAAAATGGAATGTATTTCAATAAACACTGCCTTTATAATTATTCAAAGTGTGTGTATACATTTTTGGG